GAGGTAATGAAAGGGCAGGGCAACTAGGAATGCCAGTTAAAAGAAGAGTTGAAACCATTAATGGTGGGGTCAAGGCTGAAGAGTAAAGCAGATGAATCTGGGAAGGGCCTGAGATTCTGGGAGAAGACGGGTTGGTCAATTGGCAGTATGTCTGTCTTTTCACTAAGCTTAAGGAAGGTAGGAGGCACATCTGTATGTTCACAGCTGTCTGCCTGATGCCTGGCGGTGTCCAGCATATGGTGCCTTTGCTCTTATGTCCCCTCTGCTTGGAACACTCTTACCCCATGTATCAGCCAGGATTCTCCAGAGAAGCAGCTGGTGGGGGGGTTGTGTGTATATACACACGAATATATGTCTTAGTGTACATACACATACGTGCATATTGTACACATACACACACACCATATATGTGTATTTTAGCAAGCATACATCATGCATACATACCGTACATATATGCATATGTACTACATGTGTCCAGTAGACACGTACAAATATGTGCCTATGGTAGCACACACACAAATAGAAGATACACTTAAAGATTTATTTCAGTGAATTGGCTTCTGTAATTGTAGGGGCTGGCAAGTCTGAAATCTGTAGGACAGGTTGGAAACGTGGGTGGGAGCTGATGTTACAGGCTTGAGGCAGAACTTCTGTCTCGGGGAAACCTCAAGTTTTGGTTTTAAGGCCTTTCAAGTGATTGGATTGATTGTTTTTCACCTGAATCTTTGCTCCTATTATTAGTCAATAGAATGTTTTCATACAGATAAACTCTAGCAAAGGCCTTCGTTTAACCCGCAGACAACCAGGTTGATTTACTTAAAAACTGCCCACGTTCGAGGGGAGTCTCCTGTACAGCTTGTAGATGTTAAAGACAGCAGCGAGATAGCTCCACAGCAACAGCTAGCTTAGGGGTTGATGAAAAAACTCCGTACTCTGTAGCCCAGCCAAGTTGACACGTGAAACTGACCATCATGTCCTAGAGGGCCTTTGCTCAATGTTAGGTTTTTATAACATTTAAAATTGCAGTTCTGCACACATAGTCTTACATCCCCTAAGCTCCTTCTCTTTTCTTGCATTTCCTTTAGCACCTGTGATCTTTGAGCCATCACTCTAGTTCTTATTTCCTGTGTTTGCTGTCTTTCTGCCCCTTGTAGAATGGAAGCACGTCAGGGCAGGGATCTGTGTGTGTGTTGTCCCCGGATGTGTCCTCAGCGCCTGGAACAGTACCTAACACACAACAGGCTCTCAGTAAATCTTTGTGAATGACTGAAGGAATTAGGAAGGTGGGCACTTGGTAAACATTTGTGGAGTAAATGGAAGGTTCCATCCTGAAGTATTCCTGAACAGACTTTCTTGAAGTGTAGAAGGATAGTGGATCGTGGGGAAAAAAGGAAGAATTTCAGAGTTTGATGTCTGGGAGGTGGAAGAAGTAATGAAGCTGCAGCATAGACAGGTCAGGATGTGCATTCCCTTTGCCTGTTACTTAGCGGTGTGACTTTGGACAGGTTACCTAATGTCTCTGGGTCTCAGTTTCTTCATCTGTAAACTGGGAATAATACTACTTAGTACACAGGGTCGTTCCAATAATGAAGAATTGATGTAATAACAGAGTTGGCCTGGGACATGCCCCAGGATGAGCATGTAAGAGATAGCTGTTGCCATCATCATCACTAGTACTCAATATCAAAGAGGCAACATTAGTGAGAGATTACAGTAGACTAAAAGTAAAATTGTTAGAAATTTAAAGGACAAAGGGCCTGGGAGGTTGGTCTGAAGTGAAGTTAGTACACAAGTTTGGGCCCTGCAGACAGTTAGGGGCATAGTTCACTTTAGTCAGGGTCCTTTGATTATGTTTCAGAACAGAATGGACATCTTTAGGTGTATGCAGCCCAAAAAACTAATTAATTGACACCAAACCCTTCAGCTTGCCCCCAGCTGCCATTTTAACTGCAGGGCTCATTGGTTCCAGGTCAGACGCCCCATTCATTGGCTTCCTACTGATACATGAGAGAAAACTACGTTTTGGCTGCTAATGTTCTGCTCCCCAGGATTCTTTTGTTTTCTCCTGAGGTTGTTGCTTTGGGCAACAAGAGGGATGTTAGATTCCAAAAAAAGTTTTATATATACCCTGACCCAAATCCACCGTAATTATTACTGCATACAGCTAACAGGCGTTTTTAAAACAATCCAGAGGCTTAGACACTTGCATTGAACCCGGTACCTGTCTTGTTGCTTACCTGCTGATACAAACAGAATTGCGAGTTTTGGTCCCCTTCGATGAAACCATCGTTTTTACGGCATGTGGGTCGTGTGTTTATCAGAAAAATACTGATTTTGAAAAAGATAGTGTGGCGCTGGTCATTCTGTGACATCATGCCTGATTTTAACTGCTTGCGAGGATACATTTACAGTCATGAAGCCAAGTAGATTTCACACAGAAAAAAAAGATGAAGGCTAGATGTTTGAGGTTTTTCTTCTGTCTTTCTGCTTCCTGTAGTCTCTGACTACAGCTAGTTATAATGTTTTGTGTTTGTTTAAGGAGCAGGCATATTGTGAAAAAATAGATAATTGGCTGCAGCATTCTGAGCTATGTTTTTGCTTCTGGATTTCTGGTTTGCACTGTGGTTCTAAGAAATAAACAGGAGGGAGAGCTGTGTTTAAGAATGATAGATTCTTTCAGCAGTTCTTTTTTTGACCCAAGGCCATTTCTTCACATAGGGAGGATTGTAGAATTTGGAGTAAGATTTTTTTTTCAGTGTCATCCAATTTTGGAAGTCTCGACTTCGGTGGGGAACAGTGGTCACCCTGACCTTCCTTCAATATTAGAAGGTAATTTCGTGTCTAAATGTTAGGGGTAGATCAAAAAAGGATCACTGTTCTGTGCTCTGTTTCCCAAGTGGAAAAAAAAAGCCCACTGACTTAAGTGGAATTCCTCCTTGCTTACCTTTGTGTTTGTTTTAGACTTGTTCATAATAAAGAATCAAAACAGTGCTTTCACATTTATTGTGTTCACATTAAGGGTAATTGAATGTCAGTTTAATTCAATGTCAAATTAAGACTGATTGATGTTCTGTCCAAAGCATTAGAATATCTTGGCAAATCCTTTTCTAGTAGGAATAACCTGGGATACCATTGGGTAGGACTCGACACTTTGTTTTGTTTTAGTGGTAGGATGTCTAAGTCTGCATCCTTTCTGATATTGAAAGCATGTAACAGAGATAGGGCCTCACCTTCTGCTGTTAACCTTGTTTCACAGCCTCAGGCATTTCACTGAACAACCCCAGGAGGTGCCATTCACATCAAGTTGTGAGTTTTTTTCAAGGAGGAGACCTTGATGATTTATTCCCATCAATTTCTTAAAAGGCAGAAAGGAGGATGACTGAGTTTCTGTTTATACCTTGCTCTTTTCATTCCTGAGATATGACAGTTGTGGTCACTTTTTGAGTAAAATTGGGATTGAATTGCCACAGTTCCTGCCACTTTCCAGGGACACTCTGGCTCTGAGTTCTTGTTCTCACCTAACTCACTGTCTCAGCCTCCATGGAGGATCCTGTGCTTTGTCTTGCCAGATTTTTATCAGATGTCTTTTTCTCTTGCTTCCTCCCATGTGTGTTGCTCCCCTTACCTTTTCAGTCTCCTTCCTGTCTCCATGGATTTGCACTGATTGATTACAGTGATTCTGGACATTTCATATAAAGAAATCATGTAACATGGGGCATTTTATGTCTGGCTTCTTTCACATAGCATAATGTTTTCAAGGTTCAACCATGTTGTAGCCTGTATCAGTATTTTATTCCTTTTTATAACTGAATAATATTATATGAATATAGCACATTTTGTTTATTTATCCATTGATGGATATTTGGGTTGTTTCCAGTTTTTGGCTGTTGTGAATGAAACTGCTACGAGCATTTGGGTGTAAGCTTTTGTGTGGCTGTGCTTTCATTTCTCCTGGATATGTAACTAGGAGTGGAATTGTTAGATGATGTGATGACTCCACACTTAAGCTTTTGAGGAACTGCCAGGCTGTATTCTATAGCAGCTGTACCAGCATTGTATGAGGGTTTCAATTTCTCCACATCCTCACCAAAACTTACTATTTTATGTCTTTTTTTTTAAGACAGTAAAAACTTTATTATGGTTATTTTAAGAAGATACACTTGTCATCTGGGTTTATTTAAATATTAGCCTTAGGCTGTCCGTCTTTTAAAAAATGGTAGTTGTGAAGCACCTGGAGTTTTGTTAGAGATGAGTCTGTAAGAACTTACACTTGTACTTTTTTTATGATATCGAAAAGTAACCTTTCAATGTGCCGTATACTCATGTACGAATACCACCATTAATTTTAACATTTGATCTCCTTTACTTTTATTTTTTTAACATTTTTTTTATTGAGTTATAGTCATTTGACAATGTTGTGTCAAATTCCAGTGTAGAGCACAATTTTTCAGTTATACATGAACATACATATATTCATTGTCACATTTTTTTTCGCTGTGAGCTCCACAAAGTCTTGTATATATTTCCCTGTGCTTACAGTATAATCTTGTTTATCTATTCTGCATATGCCTGTCAGTATCTACAAATTTTGAAATCCTACTCTGTCCCTTCCCACCCCCTATTTTATGTCTTCTGATTATTGTTTAGTGTGTGTTAAGTGGTCTCTTACTGTGGTTTGATTTGCATTTCCCTCATAACTATGAAGAATGAGTTGAACATCTTTTCATGTGCTTATTGGTCATTAGTATATCTTCTTTGGGGAAATGTCTCTTCAAATGCTTTGCCCATTTTTAAATTGTATTATGTCTTTTTATTGTTGAGTTTAGTTCTTTATAGTCTTAATAGTAGACCGTTACCAGATACATAATCTGCAGATTTTTTCCCCTATTCTGTAAATTGTCTTTTCACTGCCTTGCTAGCAAAAAAGTTTTAAATTTTAAGTCCAGTTTATTTTCTCTTTGATTGCTTATACTTTTGATAGCCTATCCAAGAAACCATTGTCTAACCCAAGGGCATGAAAATTTATATCTATATTTCTTTCTAAGAGTTTTATAGTTTTAGCTCTTATATTTAGATCTTTGATCCATCTTAAGTTAATTTTTGTAAATAATGTGAGGTAAGGTCCAAATACATTCTTTTGCATGTAGATATCCAATTGTCCCAGCATCATTTATTTAAAAGACTATTTCACCCATCGAATTATCTTAGCACCCTTGTCAGTTGACCATTGATACGTAGATTTATTTCTGAAGTCCTATTCTGTTCCACTGAGCTATGTGTTATCCTTATGTCAGTGAGACACAGCTTGAAAACTGTAGCTTTTTAGTATGTTTTGAAATTGGGAAGCTGGGCCTTCCAATTTTGTTCTTTTTCAAGATTGCCTTGGCTATTTCCAGTCTTTTGAAATTCCACGTGAAATTTTAGGATCACTTCATCAATTTCGGTAAAAAGCCAACTAGGATGATTTGTGTTTTAAAAATAACACTATGGCTATTAGGTGGAGAATGTATTGTAGAGAAACCAGTTAAGAGGCTACTGTTAGTAGTCCGGGTGAAGGACTAATACTGCCTTGAACAGGGTATTAGCTATAGAATTGGTGGGAAGTGGTTAGAGTTTGAAGATATGACTCCCTGGGCTTACAGATGGATTGTGGTGCGAGGGAAGAAGAGGACCTAGGGGAGGTTAAAGGTTTTGATGTAGGCAACTGAGTGAACACTGTAGCCATTTACTGAGATGGGGAACCTTGAGGAAAGAGAGCAGATTGGAGGACAAGAATCAAGACTTTGCTTTTGGACAAGCTATGTTTGAGATGCCCATTAGAAATCGTTATGGAAATGTCAAGTAAAAACTTATGTATGTATAGTTCTGGAAGAGATCAGAGCTGAAATACAAATAAGTGTACAGATGGTATTCAACGTTTTGGGACTGAAGTGACTGAAGGAAGGAGTGTGAATAGAGAAGAGTTCTGAAGATGGATTGTGGGGGTACCCTAACTTTGAGAAGCTGGAAAAAAGAAGATGGTCCAATAAAGAGATGCAGATAGATGCAGAACCAGGACAGTGTGTGTGTGGTATTTTGGATGTGAAAGGAAAGCAGATGTTTCAAGGTAGAGGAAGTGATTAACTGTGTCAGAGGCCACGAGTGTGAGTAAAGTGAGGACTGAGGATTGCGCATTGGAGGTCACTGGAGAATATGATTTTAGCAATGTTGGGGACAAAAGATTGGAGTGAGTTTGATAAAGAATGGGAAGGACTGAAGTGGAAATGGAAGGCTCTTTCAAGGAATCTCTTTTTCTTTCCTTTTTTTTTTTCTCTCTTAATTTGTTTTACTTACAGACATTTTCATGACAAAAAAAGCAAGAAGGGAGACCCACTTCTAGCCCAGATGGAGTAACAGGGACCGTATTTACTTTCTTGCATGAAACAGCTTAAAAATGGACAAAATGTATGAAAGAGCAGCTTGAAAGATTTGGGGCAACAGGCAGCAAGAGAGTGATCCCTGCGAGGCAAGAAACAAATGAGTGAGCCACGGGACCGCTGCAGCTTTCTCTGCCTGGAGAGTGTTTTCAGGCCTCAGCACAGGGACGGGGACAGAGCCTGGTAGACTCCCTGAGTTGAGGAGATGGCGCTGGGAATCTAGGGAGATGAAGGTGGCTAGAGGTCACAGGACAGAGTACGGGAGAGAAGAGAGCTGCACAGAGAGAATTTCAAAGATCTGCAGAGGGTCCCCCTTGATTATTTAGCTGAATACTCATCAGCATATAGTCTCTCTGAAAGGATTAGCAGAAACAGTGTCCCCCAGTGGACTGGGAATGGTGCCTTTTCTCTCTACCCAGAGTGGAAAACATCGAGATTCATGTGGCATTTGGTATGGTACCCAGAAGGTTTTGCCTCCGTAATGAGACTAATTAGCTGTAGATGGAACACCTCTGTGTTTTTGCCTGACACATCTTAAAGGCAAGATTCAAAAAGATCAAATCATTGCCAAGTATCTTAACATCCTGGGACAAAGCTCAAGAATACGTACAGGAATACAAAAATATCCAGCACCCTTCAAGGTAAAACACATAGTTTGTTGTATCCAATTAAAAATTACCAGATACTGACGAGGAGGGAGGACAAAGGGGTACAGAAGGAAGAGGAACTGACAGATCCTTGAGTGGGCAGGAAAGGCTGGGCTGGTGTCCTGTGTGCCTTGGAGGAGAGGACAGCTCATCCCCAGCAGGAGAAAAGACAAGACCTGGGTGGGGCTTGCTTAATGCGCCACACTGGCTCTTTGTTGGTAATGATGGTGATGTCAACAATTACAGCCATGAGAACAGTTAGTAGGCATTGAATTCATTAATAGAATGAGTCACACAAATTGAGCAGTACTTGATTTTCTTTGATGAAGTTTTCAACTAGGATACCAGTGAGTATCCTGTTGATGCAGATTTCTAGGTATCTCCAGCTAAGAAGGGAAAATGCCTGCACCTCCATCTCTCCTCTGAAGCAATGCTCACTTGGTCTGAATTGGAGTAATCAATTGATAGAGATAATGGAAAGTCCCATGCCTGTGTATTCAGTGTGAAATTATACTGCCATTCAAGTTTTTCAGTGTAGCAATATTTTCATAAACAAAACCTTCTGTTCTGTATCCCCTGTGCCCTGTCAGTACCCCCACCATCACTCCCACCACGGTTACCTATGCACCAAAAGAAGCAGTGGCTACCATTTGCTAAGTGGTGCCAGGCGTGACTGTCTCAACTGCATATTCCAGCAGCTCTAGAGTGCAGATGATTCCCCTGTTAATAGTTGTGGGAAATGAGTCTTACAGAAGTTAGATTGTTGCCCAAGGTCACATCTCAGAAGTGTCAGAGCCAGAATTAAAATCCACATCCGTGTGACTCCCAAATCCTTGTTCTTAAAAAGAATTGTATGCTGTACCACCTCCCCTTGTGAATGAGCAGTTTTCCTGGCAAGAGTGGATTATATGCATATTTTCCTCCAATTCTTATTCATTGCAAGGACCAACTTTTTGACAATAATAAAGGAACTTAGAAGAATGAAAATAATTCAGTTTCAACATCCTGTCGCAGCAACTGTTTTCATTTTTCTCCATTTCCTTTCGATCCTTATCCATGTGTACATATTTTTCATAGCTGTAGATGAAATTTTATATTCTGCTTTCATGGTTAATGTTATCCCAGACATTTTCCTTGTTGCTATTCAGTCTTTAATGGATGCATAATATTCCAGTTTGTTAATGTGCCATGATTTAATTACCCCATCCCAGTGATGAACAAAATTGCTCCCACTTTTTTAGTTCTATAAACTATGCCACAGCAAACCGATTTTTTCCCCATCTTTTGTAATTTAAAATATATTGGGGCATGGAGGGGAGGTAATTAGGTTTATTTATTTTCTTTATTTTTAATGGAGGTACTGGGGATTGAACCCAGGACCTCATGCATGCTAAAGGCACACACTTTAGCACTGAGCACCCCACCCCCCTTTTTAAAAAAGAATAAATTCCTAGCAGTGAGATTTAATTTTTTTTTGAGGGGGGTAATTAGGTTTATTTATTTATTTTTATGGAGGTGGGGATTGAACCCAGGATCTTGTGCATGCTAAGCATGTGCTCTACCACTGAGCTACACCCTCCCCACTCCCCGAGATTTTTTTTTTAAAGAATAAGTTCCCAAGAGTAAAATTACCAAACAAGAATTTGAACATGTTTATGGTTTTGGTACTTGAAATTAGAGTGAAATTAGGAAAGTTTGTACCTTGGATCATGGTGGATACATTTCATAGCTGGCACAAACAGATGAACTAGTTTAAGTGTTGTTTAGGAAGACCAAAACTGAAGACAAATGGGGAGTGACTGCTCAAGGGTACAGGTTTTCTTTTTGGAGTGATGAAATGTTCTGGAATTAGGTAGTGGTGATGGTTGCACGGCTTTGTGAATGTACTAAAAACTGAACTGTGTGTATACTTGAGAAGGGTGAATCTTTATGGTATGTGAATTATAACTCAATAAAGCTGGTATAAAAAATTAAAGACAATTTCAAACATTCCAAGTAATAATTTCAGCCATTGCTAAATTGCTATCAGTGTTCTATGTTTGTTTTTATATTTGGAAGCAGTGTTTCTTAGTGTTTAAGATCATGGGACTGCCAGGATTTAACTCAGGGCATCACCACTTAGCTGCTGTGTAACCCCCGGTGAATGCCTTGCGTTCCTTCCATCCTCCAGAAGCCCGCGCTGAGACAGTGTGGGGTGCAGGATGTTTATTGAGCACCAGCACTTACGAAGGCAGGGCGGAAGCGGGACTGGGCGGAGGGAGGGATGAAAGTGAAACGCAGGTCTGACACAGCCTCAGATGACCCCGCAGGGAGCTCTGGACTGCCAGTGTCCAGCCCTGGGCTGAAATAGCCAGGCCTTTTTTCACGTGGACCTTGCACAGAAACGTGGTGAGTGCTGCCCGGGAAGGGCAGGGCCACAGCTCAGGGTGTTCTGCACCTGTGGTCGGCCCTGAAGGAGCTGACAGCAGACGGCTGAGCGTCCTGCTCCCTGAAGGGGACCAACGTGACCGGGCATCTGGGTGCCACTTCTCCACGTCTGTCACAGGAAGTTACTTTAACTTCTTTTGCCTCTATTTCCTTCCCTGTAAACCTGACATAGCGATAGTATCTACCTGTTAGGATTGTTAGAGAATTAAATGAGGTAACACACGGGAGACAGAACAGTGCTTGTCTTATGATAAGTGCTCAAAAAATATTGGCTGTTATTTTATTATTCCATCATTATTTATAATAATATAACTATGTTATTAAATATAATTCATAAGTGTAGTTTCATAATACTGATAAACTGTTAAAAATAATATGTAAATACTACATATAGTATTTGTTACTGTCACTGTTAATGAATAATATAGTTGGTTTTGCCCAGATGATGCTCAAGAGTTGTAATGCAGCATATATCCTGAGAACGCTCTGAAGACTTTTTAAAAATAGTCTTTATTTTTTAGAGCAGTTTAGATTCACAGCGAAATTGAGCAGAAAGTACAGAGGGTTCTGCCCCCTGGGTCCCTCTGCCCCCAACACACATACAGCCTCCCCCGCTATTCTGAAGACTTTTAAGAAAAGGGAAGGACATCTTTCTGAGAAGGCTTGTGTATATTTTGGGGCCAGAATGGGCAGGATCTACAAAGACTGAGTTGAAAGATGTTGTGAAACTTCCCTGCCCAAGATTTCCCCATGATCCATCTCCTCCCCACTGGTATTTCTACCCCTTCAATCATTCTTGCTTATGAACACCTCCACTTGGTGAGATGGATTATTGGATCCTTTCTGCTCTGGCAGTTAGCTGAGAGCAGAACCTCAAGTCAGGGAAAGGAGTTTTGGCAAACAGTTGTTGAATAGGGGGAGCTCGCCAGTGCCGGGGCTCCAGGGCAATGGGCCTGGAGGTCGAGGTCGCAGACAGCAGAGCCCGTGCATTTGCCGGGGAGAGTAGGGGGAGGCGGGGGGGGGGGCAGCTTGAGCCCCTGGGTGCCCTGCTTGCAGGTTTGCAGTGGGGGTTGGGCAGGAGAGGAAGGCAGGCCCTCGGAAACAGAGGAGGAAGGTAAAGAGGAGTCTTTGTTTAGTCACAGCTTTACCAAGAGCTGACCCTTGGAAGTGGTTCTGCCAGAGGAGGGAAGACAGCTTAGGTATTTCACTCTTTAATTTTGGATTCAATTTCAGTTTTATCCACATGTATAGGAGAAAATTTCTGAGTGTTGAAGCAGCTTTCCTTTTTTTTTAAAAAAAACATCATTCTGTGAAATGGACTTTCAATGAATTTTTTTTCCAGTTTTTTTGGGGGTTGGGGGGGTAATTAGGTTTATTTATTTATTTTTAGAGGAGGTACTGGGGATTGAACCCAGGACCTTGTGCATGTCAAGCATGCACTCTAGCAATTGAGCTATGCCCTCCCCCTCTATGAATTTTAACACGTATAAATTCACGTCAGCAGCAGCACCATCAGGGTACAGAACAATTCTACCGCCACATAAAGCCCTGTGTGCTCTGTCTTTGTAGTCACACTCACCTCTGGCAGCCACTGGCCTGCTCTCCATCGCTACAGTTTGAGACAGCTCTGCCTTGAATAATTTTGTCTTCTATCCTCACGGAGTTTGCAGAGATTGTGGGCCTGTGAGTCAGAGAGAGATGCTACCTCCTCCATTATTAAGTATGTGGTTTGTGGGGGTTAATTTAATGAGACATGGAAAGAAAAAGTAACATATTTATAAGGTCCTGACCAATGAGAGTAAGCCTGTCTTTGCCATCTTGGTAACTTAGCCTTACTCAGCAGATCAGAGTAAAGTTAAGGTTGGGGGAGGCTTGTCTAGACTAAATGAGATAGTTTATCTGAAGTACTTGGAACAGTGCTTGTCATGTAAGAAGTGCTCAGAAAAATCTAGCTGTTACTATTTTATTGTTATTCTGGTGAATAATATAGTCGTTTTTGCCTAAATGATGCTGAAGAGCTGTGTTGCTGCACATACACCAAGCAGGCTCTGAAGACTTTTTCAGGCTACAGACTTTATATTTTAGAGCAGTTTGAGGTTCACAGCAAAACTGATTTACAGTGGGAAGGGTAGAGAGTGACTTGGGGAAAGGAGGTGATGGGTTTGGCAGATGAGATGAGATGCGCAGAAAGTAAAAGCGTTGACACAGCAGGGGTTTGAAGAGAAAGTCTGCTTTGTTTTGGGGGGACGGGTTGAGACATGGAGAGAAAAAAACTGGATGTAGTTGAATGCTGTGATCAGTAGGGCTTTGGGCAGATAAATGCTGGTGGAGGAGGCTATTATATAGACATTTTGTTGTGTATTACAGAAGAAATCTATGACATTTTGAAAAGATGAGATAAAGATTTAAGTTGCTTTTAAATTATTTTCTGATATAATTTATTTATGTCTTCTATTTTTGAGGCAGACCTTGAAGCAGTGTGACTGTCGTTTTTATTTATTATGTTATAATTATTGTGATGTATATACGGGTTTAATAAATGTGATATAAACACACAGGTTTAATCAACACTCTGGGCCAGGCACTGTTGAAGTGGCCTTAACAACGCTATCTCATTTAATCCTGAGAACAACCCTAAGAGATAGATACTGTTATCATTATTCTATTTTACGGAATTGGAAATCAAGATTTCGAGAGGTTGGGCAGCCTACTCAGAGCTGTTAAATGGATCTGAAGGCAGGCTTTTTAATGGCAGAAATCAATCGTCTAACCATTATGCTATATCGCTGCCACTCAGGTTCAAATTTCTCATCTGTAAGATAGAGAATAATCCCTAACCCATCAAATCATTCTGAGGGTGAAATGAGATCATTACAAGCTCCCTGAACAGTTTGTTCTTATTCTGCTTTCGTTCCAGTTGTCCATTACCGTGCCCTGCACGTAGAAGAGATTTCAATAAAAGCACTACCATTTTTGGGGGGAAAGGGAGGGAGGGAGGAATGAATACATGGAGCACAAGGGGTTTTTAGGGCAATGAAATAATGCTGTATGATACTATAGTGGTGGCTCCATGTCATTATGCATTTGTCAAAACCCATAGAGTGAACCCTTATGTAAACTATGGACTTTGGTTGATAATAATGTGCCCATGTTGCTTCATCAATTGTACCAAATATGCCACACTGATGAGGGATGCTGAGGGCAGGGGAGTATGTATGTGGGGCTGGGGAGGGCTATATGCAAACTCTCTGTATTTTCTGCTCAATTCTGTTACCTGAAACTGCTCTAAAAATTAAAGTCTATTAATAAAAAAAGTAAACAGAAAAATTAAAACAATAAAAAATTAAAAATAAATCAGTGGTTAAAAAAAGCATTACCATTTTATGACTGAGCATATTCCATGCCAACTCCAGGTTTTATGCAAGAAATTTTTGAGTCAATAATCACTGTGCTACCACTGGGGATACAAAGATAAATAATATCCTTGTCCTAGGAGCTTAAAGTCCTGAGGGCTAGAAACATACGAAGAAATCATTCCCATACATTGTGGGTGAGTGCAGTTATAGCAGAAGTACAGACGTATGGTCTGCTTGAAAGCTGTTTTAACAGATAATTTGGAATTCAGAGGGTAGGTGAGTAGGAAAAGGTGGACATAGGAAGGCAAGACACCGTTTGGAGAATGGAAAACCAGTGGTATCTGGTGTTTGTTGCTGAAGCATAAAATGCTGGGCAAGAAGGCAAGACATGAGGTTGGAGAGGCAAGCACCTGGTGTGCCGTGTGGAAAAACTTGAACTCCATCTCGTGGGCCACTGTTTCCAAAACATCTTGTTTTCCACTCTCTTCAAATTTTTGCCATATCCATGTTGTCTCTGTAATAGTATTTGTTTAATATTAAATCAGCTCATTTTTTACTTAATCTTGGCCTGAACAATAATATCCCTGAAGTCAATTTTGTTGTACTGGTTTTATTTTTCTAATACAGTTTACAATAAATGTACTACAATTAAAAATTTAGAAAATGTTTATCCACGGATAGCTCAAAATCATCTCCGATACCACTGAGGGGTCGGGGGTCGGGGGTCGTGCTTGTTCAGGTAGTCAGTGGGGAGTCCTTGAGGGGTTTTCAGCAGGGGAATGATTCAGTTAGATTTACTTTCTCTATGAAAGATAGAAATTTAAAAATTTTACTCAGGAGAAGAACGAGCAAATAGGCATTTCTCATTACAAAATGTCCTCGTTAAGATTTAGGGCTCATGTTCCCTTCTCTATTCTCTGGATCCCAGACAGAAACTAGTTTGCCAGCTTCAGCCGCAGCACTTCTTTTAAGAAGGTCCAGATGAAGCATTTGCTTATTTTTATAAGCAAATACAAAGCACAGTGGAAAAACCATTTTGCTCATCAGTATGTTTTTGTGATCCTATTGTTTTTGATTTTAAGAGTTATCTCCTTTTTCTCTTTTATTCGATTTTGTTTTAGAAGCATGAATTCAAAGTAAAATCTACAAAACAAAGTATTTTCAGAGAAATCTAGGTTCTTCCCTTCACCTC